CCCCTAAAAATACGGGACAGCAGAGAAGACCTTCCTGGTGTTCTTTCCAAGACACCCACGAGATGGCAGCAAACAGCATTTCCCTGCCCCACGGGCTCTGCCAGTTCTTTAAAATGTTAATCTGGTCTGGCCTCTGAGCCCAGTGGAGCCTTGGAGCCTAACCGAGCCTTGGAGCCCAGGGGAGCCTCCGTGCCCAGGGTAGCCTGGGAGCCCAGCCGAGCCTCTGAGGCTCGGACAGTCTGGCCCGCAGCAGAGCCCAGTCTCACTGTTTCCCAGAGGAAGAGGCCCAGGTACAACAAGGTGACAGGTGTGTCTGAGGCCACTCACCCACAAGCAGGGCCCAGGGGCACAGCCAGGAGGTGTCTCGCATCAGAGGCAGGCTCCTTGCTGGGAGTAGTTCTAAGAGACTGAGGAGCTGGGACCAAATATGTGGGGTATTCTGCAGAAAGCTGCAGTTGGTGGGAGGGGGTGTTGGGGACACACCTGGAGCAGCAGCTGGGAGCCAGGAAGGAGCCGGGATGCAGGAGGAACGGCCCACAAGCCCAGGAGAGACAGAGGGAGCTCGGTGAGCCTGGGGACCCAGCCTGGAAGAGACCCTAAAAGTCCTGCTGCAAACCAGCAGAATGAGGGCTGACTGCAAACCCCGGGGGCTCTGGGACACAGTGGACTCTCCTGGGCAACGAGCATCGTCCACCTTCTAGACCTTGGGAATGTTTAAGCCTTTTCAACACCACAGACAGGCTCCTTTGAAGTCACTCCCGGCCCCCAAACTCCAAATGAAGTCACAGCTTCAGAAAAGGTAACTTGAGCCGACATAGCCAGGAGGGTGGGCGGGGAACATCGTTGTCATGGGAGGTATGGGGTCCCCCAGGAGCCGGGACCAGGGCAGGTGGGAGGTGGGTCAGCACGAGATTCCATCTTCTTTCCTGGGGAGAGGGTTACACAGACACGGCCTAGACTCCCTACCTCCCTGAACGCTTGGTTCATTTCAGTCCCGAGAGCCAGGAGACACTAGAATTGATTTAGGAGAAAACACATGGGTGACAGAGGGGGCCCGTTCAGACCCAACACCCCGAGGAACTGCCCCAGGCAGGGGTGGGGGTCAGTGGGGCCTCCCCAATCTACAGGTTAACAGGAGGCCCTGGGCTGCCTCTCCCTCATCCCCCATGTGGGTGCAGATGTTAAATGTTTTCCAACACTAGAGGACAGCTGGGGAAATGGGGGGCAGGGGGGCTGACACTGGGGTACACAGTGCACCTGGCATGAACACCTGGCCCTGGGCAGATCTCCTGGACAGAGGACAACCCAAGAGCCCTCCAGGGCCAGCTGACCAGGGTCAGCCAGGAGTGCTGAGGGCTCCTGACAGACCCGGGAACTGTGAAGTAGAGAGGAGAGCCCCGTGTGGCCGGAGTCATGACCAGGCACCGGTCCTTCCTGTCGTCAGCTTTGTAGGCTCACAAACATCCCATGTAGAGCAGGCAGCCACACCACGGGAGTCCACCAAAATTAACCATGGATTTAATTCAAGCACCTTTCCCAGCCCTGTGCTTCCCACACTACAGGACAGGGCCCAAGATCCTGCAAGGGCCCCTGAGTGTCAGGGGACACCCTGCTGCCCAGGCCGAAGTCAAAGGACAGGTTAGGCTGCTGGTCACCAGTGGGTCGTGTCATAGTGTCACTGGAAAGGGAACCTGGCCCTTGACGGGTCTGCCCAGGGCCAGCAGGTGTAGTGCGTGGGTTCTAGACTTCGTGCAGGAAAGATTTCACAACGTGAGTCCAGGTGAATTTTAGGGGATATTTATTAAATCCGGGGACAGTGAACCAAGGACGGGCTTAGGGCGGGAGCAGTAGCAGGAGAGGGGCTGGGTGGGGAAATGAGCGTGGGCTGGGCTGCTTGGGTTCCCTGAGAAGTCGGAGAAAAGGGGCCTCAGGGGAGGTTCAGGGGGTTATCCCAGGGCAAGCTGCCACTGCCCATTGCACCCTGGTTACAAGCCTCGTGGGGTCCCTTAGAGTTCAGGGGATGCCAGCCTGTGAGGGAATATGTGGGGGAGGCAGGGGCGTGCTCCTGGGAGGGAGAGCACGTGCTTGGACCTTCATTTTGAGGGTTTTAAAGGCTGGGCATCTAGGGGAGGCATTAGGGCAGGATCTCAATAGAATATTCACCAGCTTTATGCTGATGCACCCAAATGAGATTTATTCCTTCCATCTGTCCTTGGGTGTGGTTGGCGAGCGGCACTGATTGGATTTCCACTGTCTGTGTACCTGAGGAGAGCAATTTAACCTACCTACCCTCTGGTTGGGGAGGGGAAATGCAAACCATTTACTCTCAGGTGTCCCTGGTTGAGGGAAGACAAGATTTACTAGGTGGCTGCAGACTGCTGTTTAACTATCTGTCTCAGTCTCCCTATGCCACGTGTCCCTGAATTCTCCTAGGTTCTTACTATCCTATAACAGGTGGGCAGCTGAGTTGTGTCCCCATAAGACAACAGCTGGCCCCAAGGCCACCTGCAGCCCATAGCTCAGTGGTAGGGGTGCCTGCAACACAGGGGAGAGAGAATTGTACCCCAAATGCCCCAGCACTCCGACCCCACCCCACCCACGTGCACCCCTGGGTTCTGCCCACTCTTGGCCAGCATGGGGACATGCAGGGCACAGGGCACTTTGCTGACTCACTGACGCACCCACCAAGTCAGAGAGAGGAGACAGGGAGGGGGGAGGGCGAGGGACCCACCCTGCTGGGCTCCCAGAAACCTCAGGTCAGTGACAGGTGACAGGGCTGGGCGAGTCCACAGGACCGGACGTGCCCTGGACGTCCACTTCTCCACTCAGGCAACACACCCTGGTTGGGTCTGGGACAAGGGCCACTCAAGGCTAAGAGGCCGGACACTTCAGAAAGGACTCAGCCACTTGCTGGAGCTCTGCTGGGAAATCCTGGGCAGGGCTGGATATGATGCAACCAGACCTGGGATGGGACAGAAGCCAGGCCGTGCTCCGGAGGCCCAGAGTGACCAAGAACGCACAGGGATCAGAGCGCTCGGATAATGAGGTCATGGCCTGACCTCTGACTGCTGACCTGGGGCCACACTCAGGACATCATCCCATCCCCATCCTGTGACTGCTGGGCCCCACAGCAATGGTCAGGGCCTCCTGACGTCCCCACCGGGTCTCGCCACCACAGGCTGGAGGCTGGGAGGGCCGAGGACCCCCCTTCCTGCCGGGCAGTGCTGTCCCCACAGTGGGGTCCTGTTCTGGACTCAGGGGTGGCAGCTGTGTCCGGGGCCACGGGGCTGTGCTGGGACCTGGCTCCTCCCCCCCTCCTCCCAGGATTGGGTGTTTCCCGCATCCAATCAGGGTTGAAGGGAGTGTTTTCCCGAAGTGCCCGAGTCTCCAGGGCAGAGGAGAGGGAGCTGGAGCCCAGCCGGGAACTTTGCTGGAGAGACTGCGGCTGGAGGAGGTGAGTGCCGCTCTCCTTCGGGATTGAGTCCCCGAGGGGAGCCGGGCGGGCAGGCGGGCAGGGGTGGCAGACGGGCAGGAGGTGCTCCCCGCATGGTCCCCACCTCCTGACCCTCAGGCTCTGACCCCCACCCGGACCCAGAGGGATGGGGCAGAGGGAACCGGGTCCAGGGCTGAACCTCCTGGGTTCAGAACTGCTGGGCCAGGGACCCGGGGCTGGGACAAGCCCAGCTGGGCTCCCAGGCCACTGACCACAGCCAGCAGGGTAAGGACTCAATGCCCCGAGGTCCCCTGTCCTGACACTGCTGGCAGGGCCTCCGTGGTGAGTGTTCGGGGAGCCTGGTGAGGACCACGGCAGGAATGCCACGGGTCTGGCGGCCGTGGGCTCGTCTGCCTGTTTACTCACCTGCGAGCTATTTCCTGAGTGTCTCCACGTGCCAATCACTGCCTGCATGAGCGGTTCGGTCACAGGTGGAGGCTCGGGTGTCTCAACAGCCAGGGCAGGGCAGCCTGGGAACCTGGCCTCGCCCTGCAGCATCTGTGAAACCCAGGGGTCCCCGAGTCCCATGCTGACGGTGAACCCCAAGGGACTTTGGCATGAGGGGGGCCAGGTCCCCATAGACCACTGTGGGGCGTGCTCACCTGTGAGGCTGGGCAGTAACATGCTCACCTCTTATCCTGAGAATAAATTAACTTGTGCTCAGCAGGCAGAAGTCAGACGCTCAGAGGTGGCAGCTGCAGCCTTAACTTAGGGACCCCTGAGATCTCCTCCGGCTCTGCCCTCCTGGCATTCAGTCCTGGGGGGGCGCAGGGTCAGTCTGGGAACCTGACACAGGCAGGTTTCCTGCATCAAACCCCAACACGTGGGGCAGACCTCCACGGGGGCCAAGGGTGCTGACCTGGGTTCCCCCGGCTCTGCCACCCCCAGGATTGAAGACCTCACAACTCGGACCCACGGACTCACCGCTGAGCCCCTTCTCTTATCCAGGCGGTTGGTATGACCCAAGGGTAGGGGTCCCTGGAGAGTGAACATGTGCCCCAGCCACCCTGGGGAACTGGCTTTGGGACTCCTAGGTCACTCTGTCTCTGTCTCCCCGTCTGTCTCTCTCCCTCTCTGTCCCACTGTCTCTCTATCTCTATTTCTGTATTTCTGTGTCTTTCTTACATCTGCCTGTCTCTGCCTCTCCTCCCTGTCTCTGTCCCTGTCTCTCTGTCCCTTTCTTTGTCTCTCTCTGTCTCTGTTTCTGCCCCTCTTGGTCTCTCTCTCTCTCAGAAGCTACTCCCCACTCTCCCCTACACTCAACTTCCCAAACTGCCCCTGGAAGGAAGTCTGTTTTTCCCTCAAAGCCACGGCCCCTGTGCACCTGAGTCTAACTGTACGACCTCGTGTCCTGTCCTTCCTCAGGTCGCTCCGGCTCACCTCTGATGGGCGGGCAGGTGAGCGCGTCGGGCAGCTTCCCAAGCCTGCCCTGCACCAGGAACCCAAATGCAGACTGGATGTCGGCGCTGTGCCCCCGGCTCTGGGACATGCCCCTGCACCACCTGTCCATCCCAGGTGAGGGCCTGTGTGTCCTCGGGGGGGCACCGGGCTGCAGGATGGGTCCTGAGGGTGGGGAAACTCCAAGAACCGCACACGTGTACACTCATGCACACGCACACATGCATGCACACACATGCACATACGTGCGCATGCGCACACACACGAGTGTCTGCTTCATCTCACTCGTATGCCCGGCCCGCAGGGTGCATGGTGAACCTCAGGAAACCTTGGCTTCAGGGGGAGAAGTGATGTAGGGGATGTGAGGATGCTGCCTTCCCTGAGCTTGTCCCTGTGTCAGCCTGTCCCTCTGTCAGTGTGTCCCTCCTCTGCGGGAACCCCTGGGATTTCAGGCTCCTCATCTCTGGGTCCCAGGTGTGCCAAGCATCTCCGGCACTTGGCACCTGGAGGGCCCAAAGTTTCGTCGACCTACGAGGGGGCTCGCTATGCAGTTCGGGGACTCTCTCATCCAACTGAAGAATCTTTGTCTCGAGCCTATTTTACTGCAGAAAAGAGCTGCATGCAAAGGTGCTGAACAGATGTCTGGGTGCAGGTGGGGCCCCCGGTGACCAGAGCAGGTGGGCAGCTGCAGGGTGAGGCGCCAGTGCCCAGGACATTGGAGAGATGGCCGCCCAGGCATGTGGGGTGTGCACCAGCGTCCCCGCCCGCCACACCTGCCCCGTTAACTTTCAGGAGTTGTCCTCTCAGCTGAGGTGACGCACACACGGGCACGTCCAGGGGGATGTGCGGTGACAGCTGTCCCTCACATGCAAACAGCGCAGTGGACAGTCGGGACGCAGCATCCGGCCCCACGTTTACTGGTTTGGAAAAGGCTGAGTGTTAGTCATAGCAGGTAAAAAATTCCAGTTTGATCATGTTATTATTTTTTTTTTC